CATTTGAATATCGATCAAATAAATAGCGTTTCCGGAATAATTCCGAAATTGCGATTCGATTTCTCTGCAACGAAATATTTGTGAAAGAAGTTATATAATTTTTATTATAATTCTGCACATGAAAATTTTTGTACTACGCGCTGCTTCGAATTATTCCAGGTAAATTTTGCCTTCTCACGCAAACATAAAAATAAGCAAATAAGAAACGACCACGTCATACTGATAAAGAACATTGTCGACTCGTAGCGCGAAATAACAATTGGATGAGACTTCGTTCTGCCGCTCTGTCTGTCTGCGAGTACGATCGTCAATCAGCGCGCAAATACGCCGTTACGCAGTGACAAATGATGCGTAATATCGTGAATACGCCTTTTTTCACGAGTAACGGTCAATATAAAATTAATTGGTATTACCAATTCGGACAGCGGTGGCAGCCGCTGTTAAAAAATTAATCGACACGTCTATTACGGCACGTAGACGACAAACTGGGTGTGCACTTGCAACAGGTGGTTTATTTCCACTCGCTGCCGTGCCATAAACCGACAGGTGCCGCCAGTCAATGACCAGATATCCAGTCGATGACCATTGAATCTATCCCAATGCGAAAATAGAAACTGACCTATGTATATTGGATTGGAACGTGGTAAATTTTTTCGCGAAAACAAACAACATCGTGAAATTAACACAACTTCCGTCTCTTTGGAGAACTCTTTTCCCTCGCTTTCCCAACTTTTCACTAGTTGATCCACATTCAGTACAAAAGAAAAATTAATCAAAACTTAAAAAATACAAAGATTTTTTAAACAGCCTGATACTATTTTCAAAATATTGCCCGGTGTTAATCTTGTGCAATAGTTAGGTCAGTTTTAATGGTCATTAATATTCATTGATGCATATATATATATATATATATATATCATTTCTAATGCAGTTGTAAGAGTCCACTTAAAATATACCGGCTTGATTAAAGCCAGAGCCGCTCCTATTAATGCATGTCAGCTTAATACGGATGACTGTCCTCACATCCTCGCTGCGTTAATGCGAGGCAACGCGTGCGAATTTCCGAACGGAACTTCCCTTTATCTCGCCGTATCGGTGAACTCATCTATTTATCGCTAAACAAAGAAACTTTCATCGCCGTCAGCGTTTCTTTACGAGTTGTGCGAACGATTATTAGCCCGTTAAAACGTCACGCCCTAATTTCATGATAATACCAGAAATAATTTACGACGATACACGCGAGTAACTAACGCGATTATAAAAAAGATTCCATTTCATTCAAGGTCTGATTAGAATTTCAAGCCGCACACAAATTACAAAACTTCAAAATATTTATGACAAGAGAATGTTTCAAAAAATATTTAATTCGTTGGAAAAAATTGATGTTACCGAATTTCAGAATGTTTAGTTTATGGCAAACAATAAATTAAATTTTGGTACAAGAAAAATGTTTGCCAAATATCGATAATCTCGCTGAATAAACATTTTGTACAGATATTTGTTCTCACGATTTTTTATAACGCACGTATATATCGTGTCTCTAATGGCCGGAAAATTCAATTAAACTTAAGCACGATCGTGTTTGTACCCATTATACATATATATGTCGAAAACACGGCAATTATCCTCCTCCTTTCTCACATTTTCGCACAAATGCGCGAACAACCCATGATTGTTGCAACGCGAAATCGTGAAAAGCGACGTGCGGCGCTTTGTGTATTCCGTGACTCTCACAAATCACACACCATCGGAATATTTAGCGAATCGCTCTATTCCTTTCCCTTTTACCGGCAATACTTCCTCCGTTTAGCCTCGCGGAGAAATCGTGGAGGTCGCGGAGACGACCGCGGCTTGTGCTCCTCGTTAATGCACACACGTCTTATGCGCACGACACTTTCCAACCCGCTTAATTTTGCACACGTTTTGACAAAAAAATTTTCCTCTCTCTTTTTTTTCACCTTCATTTGCACGCAACACCTGCTCGCCTGCTCGCTTTTCCGCCATTCTGCCAAGACATTGCGTCAATGACTGAAGGTTGCACTATGTAAAGATAAAAATGTGTTTTATGCAAATTTTATATGCGATAACTAGTTGCCGGTATTTGTTGCAATAAGAAATAATTTCTACGAAACTCTGCTGGAGTTAAAACAATGCATCCTAAGAAAAGTAGAATTGTTCTAATGTTAAAGACAATTATTAATTATTATGTGCCACATTTAATACATTTCAGTGCACATTGTGCAAATTAGTCTGCACAAAGCAACTTTTTATTTTATTTAAAAAAATTACAATCCTAAAGTAGGTAAAAGTGCCAAAAATTGTTTCGTTCATATTAATTTGCACAAGGATGTGCCGATTAGAAACATTGCGGTGACTATGCAATGCTGACAGTAAAATTGCTCAGCGTCTCAAAATGCCAGAAAGAAAAGGCATAATTTATCTATTTCACCTTTGACTGGCAGTTTCAATACCGGTAATTTTCGACCTTGACGAATGATACGTCAGGTTTTTATACAATAAGATTGTGTGCGCGGGGAGAAACTCGATGACCCCCATATGTGCTACGTTATCGAGGAAACCCCGCGGTCGAATGCGGCTGCAGTCGAGGCGCAATCTTTCCCCACATGTCTCATGTCTCTAAACGCGCCTATACGTATACATGATCTTCGGGATGCGTGAAAGAGAATACACAGGGAAGGCGGTCAAGCGTTCACGTGTGTGTGTACGTATTTATACGTATGTGTGAAACAAAGTCGGCTATTTTCTCCGTGCAACTTTCCCACACTTTCCATGCTTTGCTCTTGCCGGTGCTTTGAGGCACGCTCGTGCTTGGTGATCGCGCGCGTTTAGCGCCATTTCTCCTGGACAGTCGATAAATCTCAATAGACGAGCAACCGGTTAAATTTCGACTCGGGGAAAGCAGACGTGAACTGAAAAGCGGCGCGCGATGCATCCCGATGCTGTCACGATTATATGTATATGTGTTTGCAAAGCATTTACGGATTATGTATTTTACGTTAGCAATTCATATTAAATAATTCATATTGAACATTGAAATTTCTGGAGTTTCCTTCCTTCCTCTAAAGATTCATCGTATTTCCTGGATTTTATAATTTTAAATATACTTTCTCTTTAAAGATTCAGACGATTTAGACATATTCGAATATTGTGATTAACGTTTTAGAAAGTAAATTGATTTCAAATCCGTTTTTCTTTCGTAAATCTGTTTAAAATATCTCATTGCACGAAAAGAACTGAGAATATAAAATCAACTCACAATCAGTTTTCCAGATTAGTGTTCAGTAAAGCAAAAACAGTTTTCTGCATGTCAAATCTACATTCAAGTTACATAATATGAATTTGAACAGATCAATGAAAATTCTGGATTAGTGAAAGAGATTTCAAGCGTGAAAAATGTCATCGATCGAGAAACAGCGGCGAGCAAAAAGACTTTCGCAATAGCAAAACGTGTCGCGAAAAACCACGCGGGCATTTAGTTTCGATGTACTGTCGCTGATTTATCGCACGTGCATCTCGTAAAATCTCCTCGAAATAGCTATCCGGTTTGTACATTCGCTATAAAATACTCGCAAAAACATGACAATCGTGTAGACAGCCAACGGCAGCAAACGTGTCACGACGAGTGGCGATAAAATCGGAATACATTCGCGGCTCAGCAAAAAATCTTTCCGCATAAAATATTATTTAATCCTGATCAGATAGTAAAGATTTTAGTCGAAAACTAAAATTTGTAAAATTAAGACGTAAAAATAAATATTTAAATCCTTGCAATCAAAGAAATTAGTGATTAAGATATATCTGCCACAATAAATTCTAAGGACACTTTACGGTAAATTTCTGTTCTACTTAAAGTTTATTCCAAGTCATAATTTTTATGTTTCTCACACATTGAAAGTTTAAAAGTGAAATAAAATCAATGTTTTCGAGGAAACGAACGGTTGGAATCAAAGATAAGCGATGACGATTTATTATTGAGGAAGCAAAGAAGAGACAGCTGTTGTTTGAGACTTTCAGCTATAAAATGTCATTCAATATTGATGTATGCGTCACTAGATCTTCGAGCGTGGCATTTCAACCGAGTGATCCGCGTATTGTCGAATCTGCTGTTTATGCGCAGTGTCTGATTTGCGACTAATTAATCGCGCATAAATCAGCGAAATGCAGAAATTCTTCAGGCAAGAGAAAATAGTTAAATATGTGTGTATATAATAATTATATAACTTAGATAGAAATCACGAAGATTATTTCTAATTTTTATTAAAACAGAATCGAAAAACCAAAATCATTCAATCTATCTCGCCGACACGGTGCGATGCGGTCTTTAATCAACACGATCTCGTACGTGTTGATATTAACCTAAATCGACTGTAAAATCGTTAACGTGACTTATACCCTCGTCCATTACGAGCGTTACGTTTAAACTCCTACAACATCTGGACTATTAAACTCAACAAGGCCGATCGCGAAATAGCATATTTAATTAACGATGTAACGGCAGTTCACAGAGAAAATACATCCTAAGACATAAATTATAAACATATTACAAATGAAAAATTGGTTGAAAAAAACTCACATAAAAGTATAAACAATTCCCGAAATAAAAGTGTAAAAATCTTGATCGTAATATTTTGCTTTCCGAATGCTCCGTTGCTACCTAAATTGATTTATATAAAATCATTTCCTTTTATAAATCTAAAAAGCATGCTCTTCATTACTTTTGAATTAAATTAGAATAATTTGAATATTCGAATGCCCTTGAAATTCATCTTATAGCTTCAATCAAAACACACATTCACACACATACACACCTACTACGCCCTTTACGCCCACTCGTTCTCTTTCTTTCTTTACTGTCTTCAGTTTTCAAGAAGCGCGTCACGTTCAATCGCAATGTCGCAAGTGTGTGACAACTGCGCAAACATGTCGTCCGGACGGTGCAACGAGAAAAAAAAAATATAACAAGACACGAAGGAGTATACCTCGTCGGTCTCGTAAGTCTGCAGAAGATGAGTCGAGGCCATTAACCCTCTGATTGACCCGAGCATTCTCCTCTTAATTAGGCCACCTTTCCCACCGTTGTCCCTCGATGTCTCGGGTGTCGCCGCTGCTGGCGTCGTCTCGTCATTCTCTGGATCCGAGCATAATTTATCCATGCTGAAAGACACCGGTGGCAACCGAGTCCTGCTGCTCTCCAGGATGTCGTCCGAACTGACCGTCTTCCTCTTCAGGTTACCACGCAGCGTTCGCGAGCCGTTGGCCGACGCCTTGCCCGAGTCGGGCGACGCCGACACCGGTCGTTCCGCGTCGTCGAAGATGTCGTTCGCTTCTTCCGACACCGATGACAGTCCGAATTCTTCCACCCGGGTGATCGAGCCAGATTCCTGGGTGCGGGCGCGCGTCAGATCGTAGAAGCCGCGCTGCTTGCCTTTCAACGGTCGCGCGGACGAACTCTCGTTTTGCACCTTCACGCGAGAATATTTTTGTGAGGAAAAATCAAAGTAAAATACGAAAATGCTCGCGAGCGAGCCGAAAAAGAACCCGTCGTTTCTCGCGTTCGCGCATTCTAGCGAAAATTACACAGTTTAATAAAAAATATCAAGAAAAAATACACACGTTTAAAAAAAATTCTTTTTATAAAACCGTGTAATTTCATGCTTTTTTCGCTTTCGACATTATAATGTGAAATGCATGTTCGAAATATCGGAAATTCCAATATATCGGAAATGCCTATCGGGCTCGCAATGTGTTATTTAGCCTGAGATTCGTTACGTCGTGCATTTGTTACGGTCAATTGCGGAATCCTCGGGCGACGTTACGAAGGAATCGGAGTGAAAGCGGAGTAAGTCGGTAATCTGCAAAGTCCGCTTCGGATGTCACGTCATACTTAAAGCGGCTGCCGCAAATTACAAACTTGTCCTATGCTCATGCTCTAAATCCTTCATATGTATCAAGCGATAGCATAAACGTTAGTTAAAGTTCACTCGGACTCGGGCGATTTTGATATAAACTTTTAAATTTCTTAAACCAATTTCCAAAAACTACGTAGAATCGGACAACCGCATTTAACTCTGTCAGACCTTTAAAATTTTGCAGCAAAAAATAAACTTTATTATTATTTCAACAATTTTGTGTGTTACTTTAATGCGTTTCATGTGCAACAAAAATAATTGAAATAAGAGTCTAACTTCATAATTAATTTAATCTCTCACCAACTATTTATTGTCATTAAATTGATTCATTAAACCTAAAAGTCGTCAACATTTTTATTTAAAAATAATCTTTTCATGTATAGAAAAAAATCCAGTCTGAAAGGGTTAGGCGTTGAACACATTCGCAAATAAAATACACATCTTTCTAATTTCCTCTCAGTCGTCCTTATTTTCGCTTGAACTAACGTTTATTAGCCCATTGCCGATTTGTTTTCTCATTTCTCTTGTTTTCCGAAGCTACCTCGGGATTCAGCGCGCCGACAGCCTGCAATCTCGCGTGCCTGTTCACCACCTCGCCGATTCTGGTCTTCTCTTCACGCAGCCAGGTGCGCATCCTGCCCCAGGCCTTGCCTAGTCGTCGCTTCTGCAGCTTCAGCCGTTTACTGCGTTCCGAACCGCCACTCGTGCTCGTCTCCTCGTGCGGACATTCCGGATCCGAGTACGAGCCTGACATTGATGCGATGCCAGCGTCGTAGCCGTCGCTGTCGGACGCACCGTAGCTCCTTCTGCCGCTCTTCAGCGATCTGGTGGAGCGTTTAATTTGATTGTCGCGTCGTTGGTTTCTCTCGCCGGTTGCGCTCGTCATTTTTTTGTCTTCACGCTCGAGCTCGCTGGTCGGCGCCCCGTCCTCCCGCGCTGACTCCTTCAACGACACATCTCTCGTCGACTTCGGCACGTCATAAAGCTCCTGACGAATCTCCGGCGACGAGGACTCAACGTTCGCTTCCTTGTCATCGGTTCGCTCCAGGGAGACTCGGCTGCTTCCCAGAATGGCGCTCTTCGGAAGATCATACAGCTGATTTCCCGAGTCGATTTGATCACTAGTGTCCACTTCTAGAATCATAATCTCGTCTTCATCTGCGTTTTCGTGGAGTTGTTCATCGACGTGCAGAAAACTGAAGCTGATCGTCGGCACCCCGTCGGCATCCGTCATCACCGTCGTAGTTGCGTTCAGTTCCACCGTCGTGCTGTGCCGCTTTCCCTGCCGATCTCCGTCGTTCGCACGAGACTCGGAAGCTCCTGTCTGGAGCTCGGAAGAATCCTTACCGAAGCTGCTCAGCACCACTTCCACGTTGTTCTGATACAACGCTTCGCTGTTAACGGAAACTCTTGCAACTGACGTCGCGTCTTTCTCCGAAGATATGATTCTCGAGTTCCTCGCGAAGGAGCCAACTTCCGCTTCCTCGTCGACGGGCTTGACGTTAGTGTTCTTCTCGGAGAATTTAACTTCGGCTTCCTTCTCGCGAGACTTGCCGCTCTTCTTTTTCGTACCGCTCCCGACGACGTCCGCCTCCTCTTGGAACTCGCGACAGTGCACGATAACCGGCGCCGGGGCGTCGTACCACGTCGTCGTCGCGACGCTCGTCGTGGCGGCCGCGCCGTTGCTCAAGGTCGCGCTCTTTCCGGGAGACATGAGGGCTGTCAAAACGTGCCTCACCTCGTTCATCTCCGCTAAATATAGAGCGAGAGACTCCTTCTCGACCGAGACCGAGACGCGATCTTCTCCGGAGTATCGATACTCTTCGCGGTCTTCTCTCCTTCCTTCGCTCTAGCAGAATCCCGTTGCAAGACGAGACACCATTAAGTCGCGATCGAGTCGACAACGGTGCAGCGAGACGTGTCGCGAAAACGCGCTCCGCTATTATTGCGTACACCAAGTGCGTCAGCCGTCACGACGTCCATACTTCCTGCTTCTTGATCGAGCGGACAAACTTCCGATATTCGATGTTGAAAAAAAATGGCATTGACCGACTCTGCCTCCACGTCGGATGTGAAAAATGAATATCTTCTTGCTTTTCTTCCGTTTCTTCTACATCATATTTCTCCGCTGATCATTTCAAATGGCTCTTTTATGGCACTTATTTAGCATCACGCATCAAGTTTCATATGACATTCCTCAGCGCTCAACTTCCATTTCCCGCAAGCTGCGTGAGATCGCTTTCGTCGAGACGCCGCGATGTTCCTTAGATTTCGATTTATCAGCGACGACGAATTTGCACATTCCATGTCCGACAAATCTCTCATGCAGCAAGAATATTACAGCTAGGTGTCCTTACATTCTGCATCTTACTAAATTTATTTTCAGAAAGAGCATTACAATTTCCTGCATTCTATATCGCACAAATTCCGCTTATCGCGACAATAAAGGCCTCGAGATTCTTACGATCGAAGCGGCTGTAATTATTTTCGAAAACATTCGAGATTTGATGGCGCGATCAACCGCGCTTATTGCTCACACATCGGCCTTCGAGAGACTCGTATTACATTTCTTAACGTCCCACAAACTTCCCTTAACAGTAACGATAGCAGCGAGAAGTCTCGGAATTCCTCCGATAAATTCAGCGAGATAAATTCTGCGTTTCACGTTCTACGATCGCGGAATTTCGTTCATATTATCGTACGGATTGTCGGACCATTTATATCAGCGGGGAGTTTCGTTCCACGATCACCTCGGAACACTGTATAACGCGTTTCACACGGCGAGTCGCGAGGAAAAACACGAGACGAATCGTGATAACGACGTCGGCGATGATGTTCCGTGACGCGCCGCGAATTCGACGACGGCGACGAGATAAAGAAAGCGACGACGGGACAAATTTATGTCGCGAACGCGTCGCACCTCCACTTTGCCGTATTCCGAGTCATCGGTATAACACGACGAGTACGTACATACGTGGCTTGCAGCTCACGTGGACGCGCAACGGGCGTTGCGCGGGCGATGGAATTCGAGAACGGTGTCGCTCGCTCGTGGATTATAAGCACGCGCGTTTATACGCACACTGGCATATAGGTACGTTTTATTCGAGCAGCGAAGTCGAACGGCGGATGGACGGAACGACGGTATAACGTGGATGAACGATGTGATCACGCGGCGCGCAAGACCAGCACGTATCCGAACGAGGGTCGCCACGCCGCGCGCCGTGAATGGTGTTACGTAATTATGCGAGCCGCGAGCGGCGAGTGCACGGACGGCGAGGCAACACGCTCCAATTTCGTTCGAGTAAACGTTATCGTTATTATATTTTTGCTCCCTTTTCTCTTTCTCTTTTTCTCTTCACGCTCCCGTTGCACACTACGCGCGCGCGCGCGCGCGGCAATCGACGTCACGTCGCGCACTGGATAACGCGCGCGGATCACCGAAGCCTTCGATGATGATCAGCCGGTTTCGCGCAACGAGCAAAAAGCAATCGATGCCGCGAAGCAACGACGCCACACGACGACGACAACAGCGCGAGTTCACGTTTGCGAACTAAATTTACGCGAATTATAGATAAAGGAATGACGTATCTCGCAAAACATTCCGGAAAAAAGTATCGAAAATAAATATCGGAATTTAGTTTTAATCGCGCCTCAAATTGATCAGTTAATTTGAATTAGTTTTTTATTCAAAATTTTGTTTCAATTTTAATGTTACTTAATTATATTTCAAGCCTCTTCTAAAATTGAGAAAAGATATATATTTTGTTGTTTATTACTCCGAGTATCGCGCAGATCAGTATATCGATCCTTTGAAGGACTGAAAACGTTTAAAATTCTAATCGCTAAGTAATAAACACGCGATGGCAAATAAATATGTAACAGTAAATATAAATTGCGATATCGGTATCGCATTCATGGCACTAACTGTTCAACGTCGCGTCGACATTCAAAACTGCAGCGATTCGGCAGTTTCTGAAAGAAATCGACGGACAGCGTGACGACGATCCATTCATTTTTGCGCGATCATCGAGTTTTCGTTATTTACGCGTGTTTTTTGTTTTTTTTTTACGCGACTAACACTTCCGGACGGTAAAAAACTGGCGAAACTTCGCGAATTTTAGCAATGCTCGTAACGGAGCGACACTCCGGCGACAACTGCGCGCCGACGCCGCTTGGAAGCCGCATTATACAACCGCGGTGGCGAACACAAATTACGTACGTCCGTATTATACCGCGTGTACACACATTGCACAACCGTCATGTGCATTGCGCGCCGGCGCTCTTCTTACTGCAAAATACAGGCTGCTGCGTTTTGTAGCGAAGAATCGCGCCGATCCGATCACGAATTAGCGAAGATTGCATCTTCCTCCTTCCTTCCACCACGCGCGATTTTATTACGCCGCAGAACAAAACGATCGCCTAAAGAGATCGTCCTGTGTGTTGCATTGCTTGATTTTCGCGGTCAGTAAGACATTGAACTCACTTGGCTGCGCTCTTCTGCGCTTTTAGTTTACCCTTCGTTATCTATCTTCGCGCGGTTGAAGGGAAGAAAATAATTATCCAAGAAAATTGCGCGACGTAAGAAAACGATGAGTTGCGTATTGACTTTTCGATTTCTCGCTGATAAGATACTTAACGTGATATCCGCGACAGCGTTGCATTTCGACTCGTAAAACAAGAGCGAGATTTATATTCTTTCACGCGGAAATTCCTACACATACACACACGCTTTACATTCCGCTCCACAAAGGTGTAAAAAAATCGAGGCCACGCCAACGTTCCCGCTGTTGCTCGAATAAGCAACGCGGTTGTCACGAAAATAGAAACTTCGCGGACCAACGCTAATTCCTCGCGAAGCTTGTCTTTTTAATCTTAAATAATCGCGTAAATTTAACCAAGCTGAATATTCGGCATACAGCATTAGAAATCATAAGAATATTTATCAATTATCAATAATTTCGTATCTCTCTCTACTTATCTTTTAATATGAATCATAACGAATAGAAAAAACAATCAACAATCAAAGTTATGTAAGGATGTTATAAAATAATATGTTACTCATTAATTCCTCATTTAATAATGTCTACAGAGTATTAAAAAAAAATCTCTCAAAATCTTAAAGCAAATAATTAGTAAGTTGAAAGAAACATGCTTCAAAATTAAAATCGAGGTACCGAAAATTTCGAAGCTTTTTTTTAACACTCTGTGTGATACATAAATATATAAAAGTACACCGATGTATCAATAAATAAATACAAATCTAACGCACTTTCGAGCGAATCCGTCAAATAAATTCAATGTTTGCGCAATAGAACTGTCGCTTTGTACATCGAGCGATCTTGATTTCGATCTCACAATCAATTTCACCTTCACGTACGACCGCGAAATGTCAAGGTTTGCTACGGTTCAGCGTCCTCATTGGATTGTACTTATCGGGTGTCAGAAATCAATACATTAAAACCAACAGCAATACACACATTAAAAATGCTGACGATCAACCTTGCTATACTTTTATTCGCACATAAACGGAACAAGATTTTGTACTTTAAATGCAATGTATAAAAAAATTGAGAAACTTAAGTTCCGTTCTGTGTAAAATAATCTCTTCACTGATTTCAAACGCTTCCTTGTTGCCGCATCGACCACGAAGGCGCAAAAGAATTTCCTGAGTTAGCACGATAATGCACCAGATAAATTGTAAATCAAGCACACCGCGTTTGACGCGCACAGGTGCACGCAATTGCGTGCGATCGAAGGCGCTTGTAAAACGCGTATACATACGTACACGAGCGTTGCATCGAAGTCACTGCAGCGTGATTGCGGACCGCGGCCGCGCTCTGCGGGAACGAGTGCGGAAACGCGCCAAGTCCCCGCGCGAAGCGGGGAGAAAGGGAGAGAGAAAGAGAGCTGGCATGTGTACCGGCGTAACCCCAAAACGAACGATTTGAACGAGCAGTGGGTAGCTCTAAGGCGAAACCAAACGCGTTTCTAGGCGGGGGATTAAGTCCGCGGTGGTGTGTGTGTGTGTTTTCTGTTCTTTGGATTTATATTTAACTCGTGCCATTCTTAGCCGGTATCTCCTGCTCTCTCACATTAGCCTGCGTCGCATAACAAGAGTCGCACGTGGATAGTGCATGTATCCCGGTCCGAATTCTCGTATACCATAGCATATATAGAGCGATTTAGAGAGAGGGACAGAGAAAGAGAGAGAGAGAGAGACATAAGAAAGAGACATAGAGGATATAAATATAACCTTCTTCTACATCTTCGAGCAAAAAGATGATTGAAAAAAATGTTTGCACTAACGCATTAAATCTAATTGTGTAATAATAGCATCACGATAGTAAAATTAACTTTTCTGTTGCATGCTGCAATTCCTTTTTTCTCGTATAAGTAAAACATTTAATTCTTCAGCAATTAAAAACCTACTGACATACATAGCGGAGCAGCTAAATACCCCGCAAAACAATAATAGCGATAGACACTGCTGCAGGATAAAACAGAGCAAATATAAAATTTACAAATATAACTGAATTATAGTCGTTATTGTGCATATAAATATTTATATTATATACACAGCAAATGCACATAAATTTTTATAACTGCAAATATAATCCGATCATATTCATAAAATTTATATGGCAAATATAAATCCACTGAATAAACTCATTCGATAAAAAGTGATTAATAGAATAACGGCAAATATTAATAAGAGATAATAAAAAGATCTGCAAATACATAAAATAAATTATTAAACAAGGTCTATTTCTTTCATACCTCAATTTACATTCAAAAATCTTATCACACGTGGTATAAATAGCCGGAATAAATCAAATATTATGTTGTGCACGTTGTATGCTAAGCATCAGCATTACGCTATCGTCATACAATAATGATTGCCTACGATAATGAAATGATAATTGAAACTTATTGTTTATGCACATACGTTCTTATATGTCAAATATTTTACGAAGTCGTACAGATTTCTCGTAAAATTGTATCTTGCGATTTCACTGCAAAAGCGTATAGTCAAGCGTATAGTTATACGACCGTGTGAAAAATGTATTCACATTCTTGCCGCGGAAAATGTGTATTAACAAGTGAGATACATGTACGCATTGCGGCGATAACGGCGGTAGCGGAAACCGTCAGAAATAGCATTATGACATTATCAGTGTGGAAGAAGCGAAGGTGGCAATATAGGAAATGTGATAATTAACGTCCCACGTAACGCGGCTTCGAGAACGATGCATGTGTTCGGCTAAGAACATGTGGGACGTCTGGAAAAATGTATAACAGAGAATCGACAAATTGTGCGAAAGACGTCGAGAAAGTGGCGTTACAGGAAACGCCGATCCAGGAAAATCATTTATGTGAGAAATTAATGGAGCAATTAGCCTTTGTAGAATCGTTAGCGCGAACGCGTCACGACTTTATTGATATTAAAACCTTGTAATGAGGTATCGCGTAATTATCTCTAACGACTTTTATTATTCCTAAGCACTGTTCTTCATTTATTATTTCCTGACATTAAATCGCTAATGAACGATGGAGCGCGTCATTCGCGATTTTTTGATCCGATTAAATTACGTACGTTATGTATAATAAATTGATTTTCGTTGTAACATACACGAAATGTCTTCCTATTTGCTGAGGTAAAAAATAGATCGTTACGTTCATTGTAAATATGTTTTATAAATATTAGATATATTTCTACTTTGACGATATAAAATTATTCAGGAAACACATGCAATTCTAACTGTTTTGGAGACTCGTATTGCTTTTGTAAGTTTATGCGTCGTTTCGAATTGTAATCGTGTCGAGATAATACCGCGTACATCAACAATATCATCTTATCACCTGTATGACACATGCATTTTTATGCATTGCCGCATACTTCTTTTTGTTTTATACAATAGTTAAACCAAGAAAATATTTATCAATCAATTTGCACGAAGTAAAATAAAGTTTCACAAGTCTGACCTATCGTTTTTTCAAAATTTTCACACATGATTATGTGACCACTTTTTGCAAAAGATTATAAAAAATATAAAAGTCTATATGGAATACAGAAATCGTGTTTCGCGTGCTATATATGTCAATCTGCCTGAAGATAATGACGACAAAAGCGCTGTCGCGACAGCAACACGCCTTCGGTGAACGGAAGATGCACTGAAAC